TGAACTTTCCCCTTGTGTTGATGCTTCAAATCTTGAGTTTTCACTGATTTGGGTGCTTGGGTAAGTTGCGATTCATCTTGTGGTAGTCCGATGAACTTTCCCCTTGTGTTGATGCTTCAAATCTTGAGTTTTCACTGATTTGGGTGCTTGGGTAAGTTGTGATTCATTTTGGGATAGTTCGGTGAAGATCGTGGCAACGGCGAAGGTCACGGCAGCGGCAAGGTCACGGTGGCGGCGGTAGTTAAGGCGGCGACGAAGGTGTCGGCAATGACGAAGATCGCGGCGGCGTCGAAGGTCACGGCGGTGATGGGGGAGCGAACTGCTCCGATACCAGTGTAACGTGTGCAGAGGCAGAGGACGAGGCGGGAGCAGAGGGAGAGACAGAGTGAGAGCACACACACACACTCACTCACTCACGCGACTGAACTCGCCCGGACGCAAACCAGGGGCTGAGGCACAAAGTCGAAGTCTTGGTTTCAAAGGCCCAAACAGCAAGTCACACTGAGTACGAGTACAGCAGCAGAAAACTGGTACGAGACTGGTCCCCGTACTATACGGGGAGCCGGTATAAGTATCGGTGACACGTACGGTACCAGGGGCATTTCTGCAAAGGCCCCGAGGGCAGAACTGAAAAATGCGGTATTTGAAAGTGGCGCCCGAATTGCAGCATGGCGCCAGTTGTCCAAAATCCTACGGTACCAAAGGAGGGGTTTGGAAAAAGGGTGGCAGGCCGAAAAAGGGATGCAGCCGAAACAGCAAAAAGATAGACCAGGGATCGAGCCCTGGCGGAGTCCGTAAAGTTGGCATGCCCCGCATGACCTCTATTGCGCAAGCAGCAGAACCAAGGACTTGCGGCAAAGCATGCGTGTACTAGTCCAGCGGGTTGGCATGGTGACCGTGACCCGAGTGCTTCGTCCAGGGCCCTTCAGAGGCTTCGCCCGTCTCCCACCAGCTTGCTGCCCAGGAAGAATGTCGACTCTCAGTGCTCGCTACACCTCACATCGAGAGGACTCTCAAGACAAGACTCACTTCCTCACGGTAAGAAGTAATGAAGAGGGTAGATAAGGAAGAGAGCAACGTACCTTATAATGCTGCCCCCAACCACAGATTTTCACCGACAACCTGATGTGCATTTATGATGACCGGTCTTTGCCTTGGCACAACCAACAGTAGAATGCAATTCCACCTCAGCTTAAATGCCACATCAGCAAGTTCTCATCATCCAGCATACATCCCTAGTGTCACCACATAGCTTCCTGGCGCGCCCACACGACCCAGGGCCGCCCTATGTTCAACGCCCAAGCCTTATCACTGCCCCACACCTCATGTGAAGCATCGAACAACTATTGCGAAGAACCAATGAAGCGCAATATGAACCAGCTCCGATACCAAATTGCAAGGAACATGAGCAACAGCGAGATGACAATTTCAGATTACACCATCACATGGAAAGCCAGATAGTCACACCGTGTCCAGAGAGCAGCATTGCACCAATAATACACCAATGGAGGTTCGTAGTACTGAAAACCAATGTCAAGGAGAGCTTTCTCTCTCCACACCAACACAAGAGTCCAGTCCCTTCACACTCCTACTTGGCGCTCAGCGCCCAGCCTACTCCTACACAGCTACGATCAACCTACTAATTGACAATGCAACTGTTGACATCAGCGGCAACCCAAAGTACTTGAAGATGTCGCCCAAATGCAGACCATCACCAATACAAGGTATGTGCCCTCACATCATCATCATCATCATCATCCTTCACCCTTCCCTGACTCTACACCCACGTCTTCTTCCCTTACACCCAAAGACCACTCATGCGCCTCACTGTAGTCCAAGCCCACCAGCTATGGTGGCTGGGCTATGGCGCTGCCCTCAGCAGCGCCCTTCTTCCCTGCACGACCGCACGTGCTGCACCTCGCCTCTCAGCGCCAGCAGCAGCCCACGAGCCTTTGCTCCAGCAGCGCTGCCGCTAGCATGTGAGCGCCTGAATGAGGCTCAGAGTGGCGAGCTCTTTCCTTTATGGAAAGAACCTGTCTGCTTCGCAGCCTGGCTGGGTTGGGCCTGGGCCCAAAAGCTTCCGGTAGGCCCCAGGATGCTGCGTGCTATTTTGCAGCTACTGGGCCGCTTTCGGTTGGGTCTCCCAACTGTCAGTGTGCGTTTCTCGCCCAGGGCCTGCATTCTTCGGAAAGGCCCAGAAGGCCGTGGAAATGTCTTGGTTGCTCAGCCTGTGTTTCTCTCAACCAACTAGCGCGTCGCAACTGCCTGTACCCCAAATATGAAATCGACAGTCAAGGGCCTCTTGTGATTTGTTAGGCCCACCTTCACTTAGGGAGGGCACCACTGTAACCGGGGCCCCCTTAGGCCTGCCGAGGACCCAGATCCTCGCAATGTACACACTCCTCACTCACGAGTGGAGAGGAACTCTTATCAGGACAGTCACAACCCTGATTCCAGACCTTCACCCTGTAGTGCTAGCTGGAGATTGGAACACGACTTTAGACCCCCATTTCAATCGAATTTGCTGATCCCTCCCGATCGGACCCAACCGAGGGGGCATCCATCTCAGGAACTTCATAACAGAATCCAAACTCTTTCACGCCTTCAGATCCGTACACCTATCCTTGCAGTTTCTCAGCAGGCTGTACCATTAAACTACGAGAATTTTGTAATTTTTCTTTCTGGATCCTAACCGGTAACTGAAACAGGCTGAAACCGACAGGGACTTTTCTGCCGATTACCAAAACTAGTACTAAATGGGAACTACTGGAACTACACCTCATTTCAGGCCTATACAGATGGTGAGGAGTGTGCGAGAAGGTGTAGGTTGCTACCTAGTGCTGGTGTTACATACTCCAATGAGTATGGGCAGAACCAAGGATCAACCAATGTAGGATGAGCACATATGCAACGGAAGTCTGATGAACGGACTGACTCACATAGACTGACTCACATAGCATCACTCCGCACACATACAATCGTGAGGTGTGGGGTCTGAGCCATACATAAAGGATGCTCAGCCCCGTGCACACATACACAGATGAATGGGGGAGGAGAGACGAAGAGGTGGGGGGAAGGTAGACAGCACCGAAAGTCACCGAGATAGAATCTGATAGGTCACCGATATGGTAGTCCAAAATGTCATCCAACAAGATCAAATGTCGAGGACCATAGGTCACCAATGTCGGGAATACAGAGTCCAAATGTAACTGGTGTCTGAACTGTGATGTCGCCAAGTATCAACCCCAACGATCTCCAAGTCTCCAATCTGGTAAGACCACAGTCTCATACCACCGAAGTCCAACTCTGATCTCTGTCCAATCTGAAGAAGAAGAAGAAGAAGAAGAAGAAGAAGAAGGAGAAGAAGAAGGAGGAGGAGGAGGGAGCCGAGGAGGAGAGGGAGAGAGAGGGGACTGGCGATGGGAGGGAGGAGAGAAGCATCCCACTCCCGGTACCTCAGGCGGCTATGGCCGCCGGTAACCCAGTCGCCACTGCTGATGCGCTACCGCTACGCTGCCTGCTCCTCGCTCCTGCGCTAAACATAGCGCTCCAATGGCACTCTGGTGCCGACCTTACCGCACCGTATCGTATACCGGTGGGTCGATCCCCGAAGTGAGGCCGGACCGGTTCTATATACTGGTGGGGCAGAGGCCGGCCTCAATGCTGCGAGGCCTGGCCGTGCCCTGAACCGTCCAGATGGACGGTTCARCCCCAACCGGCGGGCGGCAGCCTCAAGAGCGCCGCCAGGCCCAAACGGTAATGTCGTTTGGGCCTACCCGTCGGGTCTGGTCCAAGGTGAGGCCTTTATGGCCTGTAGTACCCCAAGGTCGGGCCTTTCGGCCCTGATGTGTCCCTCTAGCCCTAAGTCGGGTCCGGTAGGACCCGTGTGGCGTCGAAGATGTAACAGCTGGGGTGGAGGGCCAAGGCGAGAATGTGGGGGGATGGAAGTCACCAAGGTGGGGTAGAAGGTCGCGTGTAGGAATTCACTGTTGAGAATGCGACAGCGTCTGGGTTCAAGTCCAGGGGGTGTTTCATGGTGGGATAGTCGGTGGAGGATGGATGGATTGGAGAGGTGGTAGGGATTTGACTGACAGGAGAGGGGTTCGCTGCTGTTTCGGTGGGGGACATGGTTCTCTTAGCTAGTGGAGTTCGTTCTCGGCAGCTGGCTTCTTGGCTCACTGTTGAAGTTGTGGCAGTGAAGATCTTAGGGTGGTTCCCCATAAGGAGAGGGGTTCGCTGCTGGACAGTCAGGAACTAGCCAGAAAGGCAGACTCATGTGTGGTTAGATGGCATGAGACAAGGTGAGTGGCATGTCCTTGCAAGAGTTTTCTTGACATCTGAGCTCGAATATTATATGATTGGGTTGAGTTGAGTACTCTGTATGGACTGTGTGGTTATGAGCTTGAAGCTATGAAGGATGTTAGTTTGATGGAATACCTGATTCCTACCAGGCCCCCGGTAAAAAAAAATAAAAATTAAAAAAAAGCACTGCCCCCAGTTAGCGCCACTGGGCTTGATGTGCTAATGTGCAACACCCCAACCGTGGCCCCAGGCACGTCGTACAAAATGCCGTCGTCCTAAAGGCAGTAGGGGCTTGCTCTGAAGATGACTACATGTGCTCCATCATTAGCCTTCCATCACGAGCATTGCATCATGTGCGCGTCTGGAAGGAGCTTCTTCCGCCATATGATAGCAGCAGTTTGAAAGTGCCCGCCAAACCACTGTCAAAGACCTCACGAATCACAATGATGTCAGCTTCCTCACCATTCCATCGATGCGCAGAAGCTGTCACTGCCTTTTCAGCAGAGATTATGCTCTGAGGGCTTTTAGTGCCCTAGACTCATCCCCTTCAGCACCTCCAGAGAGAGAATTCGAGCAGCTGAAGGTGACGACAGCTTCATGGCATCAGGCGGCTTTATGTCTTTTCACACCCTTGCAGGAACCGGTTGCAAACCGTCTATCTCCAACAGGCAGGAGACATCAAGACTTACGGGAAATCGCTACGCGGCCACGACTTCAACAGCGCCAACAATCCAGCTGCCAACAACAAGCACCGCCAACTAAGAGAACCCCACCTCCTCCTTTCCCTCCCTTCCCCACACCCCTCCCCCTCCCCCCCACCCTCCCCTGTCACATGTAAACCACAACAAGGCAGCCCTCCCGGTTTTCTCACACTCCCACTACCAGGCATTCATTGGTGAAGCATAACCACTATGTACCCTCTTCGACTATATCTCTGATAAATTGTGATAATACATTATCACAACACAGTGGTTTCTTATGTTGACCTCATTAGCCTCCACTGCATCCCCCTCGATA